GGACAGGCGCGTGAGATTCGCCGGAAGAAACGTCGCGTAATCCGTCAACTTCATGGGCGTAGCGTAGCGTCTCTCGGTTATGTCGACCGACCATACGTTGCGGCGATTAGCTATGTACAAGCGACGATTCATTATTAACGCCGATGCGCCGCACCGCAACGCGCAGAGATCCGCGCGCGCGGGGTCGGTCGGCGCGACGCTCGTCGTCGTCGCGGGTGCTATGGTGGTTGTGGGAATCGTTGGATAGTTTCCATCGTCGTGAGATCCGTACAGATTCTGTATAGCGAGGACGTCCTCTATGCTCAGCTTAACCGGAAATTGATTTTCGATGTCGGGTATATACGGGAACATTACCGAGTCGTTGCGCATACTGTGCTGTAGACCTAGCGTGTGGCCGATCTCGTGCGTCAACGTTTGTAGCAAATGACACGTATCGGGAGGATTTTTGTTCAGATACACGTGCCACGGTTCCGCGTCGTCGATGTGCATCTCTGACGCGAAGTCGACCGCGTGAGCGAGGACTCCACCCGAACCGTCAAAGGAAAGAACGCGTGAGCGAGAGCTCCACCCGGACCGTCGAAGACCGCCGGGCAGATGTCGCCGCTCAGACGATTCGCGTAGGTGTGCGCGTCCGTTCGATACGATATCAGTATATCGGGATGTAGCGGGTCGCGCGCGAACGTTAACGACGAATTCACCGTCCATAACGCGAGCGCCGCTTCGGCCGTTCTTACGAGTTCTTCGCTAGCCACTTGAAAGTTCCACGTGAGACGTGTTTTCGGCCATTTTCGCGCGATCGGGCTATACGACCGGGAATGTCCGCGAGACCGCATCGCGGTTTGCGCATATGACGAAGCGTATCAGGGTTTAACGCACCATTTCCTGATAATTGATAGTATTCCTGAAACAGCGACAGCGCGTGACGTAGAGACGTCGCGTTTTCGGACGACAACGATCCTCCATCGTCCTTCAGAAAACCGTACGCGCGGAGGAAGCGGAGCGCCTCTCTCTTCTCCGAGTCGACGGGCTTCGCGGTCGTCGCGGCGACGAGCGTTATCGCTAGGATGAGAACAGTCATCGTCTTCTTCGCGGTGGACATCGCGCGAGTCGAGAGGGACGCGGGAAACGATCGATCGAGAAATATCAGACGTAATAAGAAATGTTCGACGAAACGTCTATTTTTGTCTCTATTGCGCAAATTTGGGGTAGGGAGAATAAGGTCAGGTCAGGTCAGGTCAGGTTAGGTTAGGTTAGGTTAGAGGCCCCTCCCCCTCCGATGGTGCACCACCTTGTCGTGGTGGAGGGGCTCCTCTTCCATTCCTGGAAGGGGTCTAAGAGTGCACCAAGTTACTCGATCGTCGTGGGAATGGGTATTATTTTTCTTTATTTTGGGTGAATGTTGTGGAATGGTTTGGGATATTGTGGGGGGTTTTGGGGGGGGGTTTGGATGGG